AAACCGAACCTGGTTTTTGCTGAACATGGTTGGGCGAAGAAGCTGTAAATGGAGCTGCAGTGCTGCCGAATGTGCAAGTGAATTAAAGCTTAGATGATCAAAATTCAAGGTGCCAAACTGTCAAATACTGCACAATATAAGTAGAGTCGGTGTATAATGAGTCACGCCAAGAGTGAAGTCAAATCTATCTATTGAACTGTCAAACCGGCTACCTATCGTGCAAAGTAAACAAGCATTACGATGCTATGAAAGGTCCACGAAAGGTATTGCAATTAAATATAAAATATAATCGAAGAAATGATCATAAACACGCAGTGAGCATGACATTTGTCATGCGATACGTTTTGTAATGGTCAGTAATGAGAATTTCTAATATTTTTCGTTAAGATAAATTGACAAAATCACTAATTTAATGATGTACTTCAGTCGTTACTTTTTTTCCTCGCTAGAAGTCCTCTGTTACCAAGTGAAAAGAAAGGGAATCTTCCGAAAACCGTGATGCGAGTTCTCTTGCCGTGACTCATTATACACCGACTCTAAATATGAGTATTTTTGGAATCGTGGTGACATGTAGGAACCGGAAATCGATGTCTGACGCCATTTTGAAATCCAATATGGCGGCTTCTGGTTAGAGAAAATCTGGGAAATACTGTCAAATACCTCACAATATGGGTATTTTTGGTATCGTGGTGACATGTAGGAACCGGAAATCGATGTCTGACGCCACTTTGAAATCCAAGATTAGCGGCTTCCGGTTAGAGAAAAAACTGTCAACTACTGTCAAATACCCCACAATATGGGTATTTTTGTAATCTGTATGCCAGGTAGGGACTGGAAAGCGATGTCTGACGCCATTTTTAAATCCAAGATGGCGACTTACGATGAGAAAAAAAATCTGAAAATACTGTCAAATACCCCACAATATGTGTATTTTTAGAATCGGGATGACGTGTAGGGACCGAAAATCGATGTCTGACGCCATTCTAGCTGGCCAAAAATATTAAACCACCCCATCTAGTCAAAAACACTCCTTTTTCATGAATTTATAATGATTTTAGGTCAAATATGGATGGAGTCCTGTTTTTGGAGGAAGGGATTTTTAGGAAGCTTTTTTTTCAAAAATTTGTATATCGAAAAGTATTCTTCAATTTAAGATACTGTCGAAAGGACGAAGTGTTGAGAACTAAGATACTGTCGAAAGGACGAAGTGTTGAGAACAGTGTATACTATAAATAATTAAATATAAAAAACTTAAATTAAAGATAAATTTTAAATTAGTTTTTTGATAAACTTCGCAGCAAACTACACTGTCTGCATCTGTATTTTTATTTTAAGCTTAAGATAACTTTGCATGATTCCCAACGACTTTGTGTTTAACTCCTAGATGGGAAAATTAGATACTAAAATAAATTCATGACACTTATTGATATCTTTTCTATTTTACTAACAATTTTTACATATATATATTTTTTCAGTTTAATGCTGCCTATAGTTGGTACTGAAGTTTAAACAGCCCTTTTTTGACTAAATTGTGAATGCAGATCGTTATAATAAGTTATTGGAAAACTATCTGTGAAATTCAATGCAAAGGTTGACGTCAATAAAAGCAATTTTGTACATTTTTGTGTGAGATTGATCTATATTAACTCGATATCTTCATGTTACAATATATCCCAAGATTGCAAATAATCGTGGCTGATTTTTCGCAAAAAACCTTCTATCTACACGTGCCATTAATGCCCAATAAAAGACATCACAGAATATTGCAGGATATGTTCACATTCTTTCTATGATATTTAGGAATCATAGTTGAAAAACACTTAAACTTCTCTAACCGGAAGGCGCTATCTTGGATTTCAAAATAGCATCAGACATTGATTTCCGGTCCCTGCACGTCATTTCGATTCCAAAAATACACATATTGTAGGATTTTTGACAGTATTTCACAGTTTTTCTCTAAGCAGAAGCCACCATATTGGATTTTAAAATGGTGGCGGTCATAAATTGTTGGTATGGGTAAGATGTTTTGAGATAATTTTAAAATAATCATATAAAATGTAAAAAAAATTCTAGCACCACTTGCACGTCCGTAAAATATCAAGCCGAAAACACAACCACTACACAACCTTGGTTCAGTTTTGTGTTTTTCATTTTTTACATACCAAACTCGTTTACCGGTAAACGAAAACCATACATAAACCAGGGTGTCGTGTAAACGCAACTCTCGTTGGTTTACAAGCTTCGATGGAAACACAACCAGCATCTAAACCAAACACGGTGTGTAGCAGTCGAGAACACGTGTTGTGCTCTGGTGAACCGCACCGGTACTCTCGCCTTGTTGTTCACCCTAGGGGCAAGCAATAACCTTTAACTCCAACGCAGGCAAGGGCTGTAATTAAATTAATTCCAGTAACTACTGCTTTAATTACATTATTTACACAGAGTAGAACATTAACTACTTTTTAAGTCAATTAATTACAGTTGAAATTTCGTAATTAAAGTACGTAAATTACATTAAGTACGGATAGTTAATTTTAATTACCGTCAGTACTACTTCAAAACGCATTCATTACTTTAAGTACTTTTAATTGAATTTTAACTTCAATAAACCGATTCTTTGTATTGCGTGCCTCTCGTGTTCACCCACCTTTGCGAGAGAGTCTGCCTTCTCATTGCCTGAGATTGAGCAATGTGAGGGGGCCCATACAAAGGTAATCATATATGATCTTTCGACCAGCAAACTCATATGCTCCCTTACCTTTGAGAGGAAATAAGATGAGTGCCTACCTTGTTTCATCGACCGAATAGCTCAGCAACATAAACGGTACAAGGTTCCTGAAGTTTCCAGAGGGCGGTTGAGTATTCATTGAAGACACTGAAGCCAGTGGATTCATCAATGCGTGATCCATCAGTGAAAAATCTAGGCTAACATTTGAAAAGGGCGTAACTCCATAATGTAAACAATCCATATTTTGCCACATATAGAAAGAACAGTTCACAAACTACTCGATAAACACGAAAAAGTAGAAGGAAATATCACTTCAAATCATCAAAAACTTTTCTTCTTACATGGCGTATTTCCAACTTTCAACTCTATGATGCATCTGGTTGTTACGCCTTGTACCAGAACTACGAATTATATTGTTTTAATAGCCAAACGTACTAGTTACGCCGGATTCATTTGAAATGCATCCTATTGATATTTCACGTGTAAACAACGAACAAAAAGACCAAAAAAAAATCTCCGTGTGTAATTCCACTCTCACAAAATTTGCAAACGAAGAACCAAGGCGGAACAACAAACAAAAAATCACGAGGGTGTATTTCCACGGCGTATCACCAGTGTTGACAGTTCAAAGGATGGAAGGTCCAAGTGGTAACAACATGTAAGAAATCTAGAGTAACATTTGAAATGGGCCTATGTCCAAAACGTAAACAAACCAGAAAATGAATTTAAAAATTTTCCGCCACTATTCAATGTATATTTAAGAACATTGAAGTATTTTAGAAATATATATTGTTCACAATAACAATAGTAACTGCATATCAGTATACAACATCCAAAATATGCGAAAAGCTTTCAAAAATATATGAAAATCGATTACAATTTAATTTCATAAATCAATAAGCCTTTTTGTGAATCTTTCAATGCTTATGCCCTTTTTGTTAAGCCGTTGTGCTTGTCATCAGAAACGTCAAATATATTCAAAACAAATCATCGGCCCTGCCTCAAGCAGTAGGGTCTAGCTTTGGTTTGAAAATTTTCAACTATCGGCCCTTCACCGTCACTAGGCTTATCAATGACATGAAATAAATGGTTGGCCGTTTTAGCGTGCCTATTAATGAATCGAAAAATTTCGTTGATCGCCCGTTTCGAAAATCAAGTTATTTTTAATGATTTTTCGCGATTATGCGGAACTTTCCTACACGTTGTTTTATTCTCAATTTCACGACAAAGCTTTTTATTTAGTTTTTAGTGGTGTATTACACTATGAACTATATGTCAAGCTTATACAATCATCCAGAAAATGGAAAGTCGTGAAAAAGGATTAATTTTTAGGTCATCAAAATTCGGAAGCGATTTTCTCGATATGGTCATTTTGGAGTTACGCCCTTTTCAAATGTTAGTCTAGAAGTCATGCCTCTAAGATATTCTTGCAAGAAAGTTGGTTGACCAGAAATTATTCCAACAACCTTCAATTGATCAAATACATGTATATTGTTATCTTGATATTTGGCTTTTCTTTGGGTGATTAGTAATTATTCCGAAGATTTCAAATTGTTCGATAGATCAAATCATGCCCATAAGAAATTCTTGCACGATAGTCCGTGGATCAGGAATGCTCCCAAAGATCTTAAATTGATCAAATATCTGCATAATGTTCTCTGGATATTTTGGCACTTATCCTGGTTGATTAGTAATTATTCTGAAGATAGCTAATCATTCAATAGATTTTCTTATAAAATAGCAGGTTGATCAGGAGTGCGCGAGAATTATTAATAACACGAAGATAAATGTGTAGCAAATTTCCAGCTATTTTTGGAGGGAATTTCTGAACTGTTCTGCACATAGTTCCAATACTGTTGATGAATCAAAATGTTACTTACAACCTATTGAAAAATCACTGCGAAGTAGATGAAAAAACCTAAAAGAATCCGCTTACCTAGTAAAGCCTTATGGGATGGCAGCATGAGAAATAAAAACTAAAATCTTGGTTGTTGTTATGTGTAATGTATTGTTACCGTGTTTTTATACATAGTATATTATATGTTGTACACTGCGAGTGCGACAATCACTGAACGAATGATTAAAATTCACGACTCATGGATCAAGAAGTATTCTCATCTGGAGAGAACAATCTTTTATACAGTAGCAATAACGGCGTGGCATAGAGTTTAAGTTATTAAATGCTTTCCTCTACACGTATCTTATTCTGAGAAAAAACGAATATAAAATAAAACTATATGTTGCAAACATAAATCGCATCATAACGCTCTACTCGTCGAAAGTGATCTTTTTGTTCTGTTTCGATGAATCATCTCCCGAAAAACTCCTATTGCCACCGCCTCCCCGAGCTCCTCCTCGGAAACCACCTCCACGGCCACCACCTCCGCGATCGCCACCGCCTCGACCACCACCTCCGCGACCGCCACCGCCTCGACCACCACCTCCCCGACCACCTCCTCCTCGGCCACCTCCACCGAAGCTCTTGCGGAAACCACCTCCGTCACCGCCTCCGTTGGGATTCGGTTGCTTGCACTTGAAGCATGAAAATCTACTGGGGAAGTTGGAGAAGTTGCATTCCGTGCATTCCCAATTGTCACCAAAGCTTCCATTGGGATTGGCCGCAGAGCATTTGAAGCAAGTGCCACGCTTAGCAAAGTTGCTAACTCCGCAGCTGGGACAGTCCCAATCCTCAGGGAAAGTCCTGCCTCCAGCATCTGCGCCTCCACCGAAGCTTTTTCGTCCACCTCCGGCATCTCCACCTCCGAAGCTTTGGCGCCCTCCAGGTGATTTACCGCTGGGATTAGGCGTTTTACACTTGAAGCAGAATCTACGGTTCGGGAAGTTTTTGAATCCGCAAGCGCACTCCCAGTCGTTGGAATCATCAGCATTCTTGTTGAAGTTCTTGCACTGTCCGCAAGACCGCACATCGGAGTCATTGTAGAACTGACATTTGTCACACTCCCAGGCGGAACCCTGGTCCTTGTTGAAACCACCGAACGACTTGCGATCATTTTGCTCCTGGAGACGGCAATCGCGTTTCAGATATGAAAAGAAAGGAAAGAAATGGAGAAAATTAGCACATGATAACGAACTCTCTCACTAATTTCCGCAATGCTTTTGGTTCAACAATGAGATTTTTTTCCAATAGAGTTGCAATAGTGACCACAACTGGCTTGTTATTTCAAGTGCTTTTCTCTATTTCTTTCCTTCCTATTCTGTGGCTCGATTAAAATGGAAAGTTTCTCATTATCAACTTCAAGCGATTTTGGCAATCAGTGATATTTTAATTAAATTATTTAATTAACAAGGTTTGTGCGAAACTGTTGTCCTCAACATAATCATCTGTAGATTACATCAAATTAACAACTGCTTCCTAGAATTGCTCTGGGAGAGTTATTAAGTGCCAAGAGAATTAATTGTCCACAGAGCACTCCTGAACATCTCCCGTACAATGTTAGAATCGATATTTTTCTCCATTCATATTCACAATAGCTGCTACACTCAGAGATGAACCAGCCGATGGGTGAAAGTCTCTTTTATAAAGAAAGAAGAAGCTGCTACACTTGTGAAACTGAGCGTGTACCACAATTAATCCTAAGTTGGGATAACCCCTACGTTAACACCCCCTTTGCTTAGCAACTAGGAAGTTTGACAAAAGAAAAACTCCCTTGATTCGTACGGTCCTTCAAATGGCCCTCGCACAACTTCTATTCATTTTTCCTATTACCATACTCTAACGAAACTACCCTCCCCTAATAAAATTGTTATGGTAACGACATGTTCGGGGACTCATCCAAACCATTTGTGAAATAGTTCTATTATTTGGGTTATCGTTCGTTTATGGTAATTTTTTTATTAGGGTCTTCATATCTTCTTCTAGCTCTAGCACTAAGTCTCATGATGTTGATATTGTTAAAGCATTTTCCTTTAAACTTTCTAATCCTAAATCATTTAATTCTGAAAGCTTGTAATAGTTCGGAATCCAGGATATTTTTTTAAAGTCCTGAAGAGAAAAAGGAGAGCACGCATTCCTTCTCTTAATTTAGTAACAAAACAACTGCAAAATGCGTTACGAGTCTAAAATTGATCAAAAATTCCCCAACGTTTGAACATAATAATATACTCACAAAACCAATAACAGTAAAACTTGAAAGAACTACCCAAGTTTAAAGGAAGGATAATCTTCAGTTGTTTGTTTAATTCAATATTTTATACCAAACGTCCGTTATGCTAAATAACCTTAAAACATCCCCAACAAATCCCATACGATAATTTTTCGAAAGTCGAGATTCCATAAGTTCCGGAATCACGAAAATATTCGAAGGCCGCGAAGGTTTTAGGTTTTTTTTTATTTATCTTGAACTTGAGACAAAAATAGATCCAGGGATAAATTTCAAGATGTCACATTAAGAAATTCTATAAAGATTGCAGACCAAATCATTTCTTAAGTTTAAGAAGCAGGGATTTTTTTCCGGATTTTGAAACTCCAGATTTATTTTTAGAAAGGAAACTATTTAAGCTAAAGCTATACTTAAACCCACAAAAACATAGTCTGGGTGAAGAGTAATCTTACTGGTAATTAGCATTATTTTGTGCGAAGCTTATGTCCTCAACATAATCATTTATAGAATATGCCAAATTAACATCTGCTTCCTAATTGATCTGGGAAAGTTATTAAGTGCTAAGCAAATTGAGTACTCACAAAGCACTCCTGAACGTTTCCCGTATAATTCTCAGTAGTAACCATGATGTGCGGATGTTTGAGATATGCATTGATATTACAGTAATGACCGGATTTTGTCAGCCTCCTTTTTGGACATCATTTCTACAGTTCTAAGAAACCCATGCGTTTTTTAGTTGCCTAATTGCACCAAAGTATGACCTTGAACATCCACCTTTGAAGATGAATGATAAAGATTTGAAATATGTGAAATTATTGAAAGATAATAAATAGTATGATGCGCGGAGGGGCTGACAAAAACGGTTCAATGCTGTACATCTATCACAGTGCAAACGTAGGAAAAAAAATGGCACAAGAGCCTAACGATACATTTCTGCTGTAAATTTTTTAGTGGATTCATGCATCACACCTACCTTGTTTTGTTTGTTTCCTTCTCCAGCCTTGACAAAGTTGTTGTAGTTGGCCTTCTTGGCCGGAGGTTGCTGTTCTTCTTCTTCCTCCTCCTCTTCATCTTCCTCATTGTCCTCGTCAGCCTTTCTCTTCTGGGTAGGTGTCGCAACTACTGCCTTCTTGCCAGCAGGTTTCTCCTCTGGTGCCTCGTCGTCAGAATCTGATGAATCTTCACTGGATTCCTGCTTCTTAGCGGGGGTAACAGCAGCTGGCTTCTTTGCTGGTGGTTGTTCTTCATCGCTTGACGAATCATCACTAGATGATTCTTGCTTCTTGGCTGGTGCCGATCGTTTGGCAGCAGGAGTAGCTACAACCTTCTTGGGTGCTTCTTCCTCATCCGAAGAAGAATCATCGCTGGATTCCTTTTTCTTTGCCGGGGTTGCGGCAGGTTTCTTGTTCACCAGAGGTTTCACTGCTGGTGTGTCTTCCTCTTCCGAACTGGAATCTGAAGACGACTCTGCCTTCTTTGCGGGAACCTTCTTCGCTGCCGGAGTGGCCTTTGCTGGCGCAGCCTTGGCAGGAGCCTTAACTGGGGTCTTCGTTTTTGCCTCGGAATCATCCGAATCCGACTCACTGTCACTGGTTTCGGCTTTCTTGGCTACCGGCGCCGGAGTTCCCTTGGCTGACAACTTGGCTTGAACTGGCTTAGCTGAAGTTTTAGGGGTCTCTTCCTCCGATGAATCATCTTCACTAGATGTTTCCTTCTTTTTCGCTGCTGGTGTTGCTTTAGCCGGAGTTGCTTTCACTGGAGTCTTAGCGGGAACAGGAGCCGCTTCTTCCTCAGATGAGGAATCATCGCTGCTCGATGCATCAGCTTTCTTGGCAGCAGCTGGTGTGGCCTTTGCCGGAGTCTTGACAACTGCTGGAGTAACCTTTGCCGGAGTCTTGGCCGGAGTTTTCACGGGAGCTTTCGGTTCTTCTTCTTCAGAAGACGAATCTTCACTGCTGGATTCTTTTTTCTGAGCCTTAGCTGGGGTCTTAGCTTTACCATTGGCTGCTGCTTTACCATTCGTCGCCGGTTTTCCATTCGCGATCACCTTTTTTGTCTGTTCTTCCTCTTCTTCCGAGGAATCTTCAGAGCTAGATTCTGCAGATGGCTTCGACACTGCTATCTTCTTGGGCGCTGAGACCTGATACTGTTTCACGACATCCTCCAAACGCGGCGATCCTTTACCGATGACGGGCTGCCGGATAAAAAGAGGAATTAAATTTAAAAAAATATTCAAAATGTGTTAGTGGGATGAACACAAAGCAAATATTCAAGATGATCGGATCTTTTTGCTTTAGGAGATTTACTAAGTGTTAAGGAAATCAATAATCCACGACGCACTCCTGAACACCTCCTAATGTTTGTAGGTAATGTTGATGATGTTTCAGTGTTTTCTTTTCGACGCATATCCATGCCTGCCCTGCCACTTCAAGGTCTACCCAAATCAACACGCGGTCGACCGAGCGACGCCATTTGCAGGAATTTTGTTTTCAAACTCAAATCAAAAAATCTTTTTCTAAATACTATTTGCTTTTCACAAAAAGGTACCACATAATTTAAGCAACTAGTTAGTAATTTAACCGGAAATCATTTTTATCAGAGCTGAAAATGCGTCGTAGTAAAAACACGTGTATCTACCCTTCGGGTGCCGGGGAAAACTCCCTTCACAAAAACAGTTAATTTTTGGCCGAATTATACCGTTATCCGCAAAACTTTATATTCACACGAATGGATCACACTTACCGATTTGAATTTCTTCTGGTAAACTTCTGCAAGGGTTTTATCTTTCCGAGAAAGATAATCCCAAACAAGCGCCTGCAGTATGGTCTCACTAGCAGCAGCCATTTTTGTCGAGTGAAAAGACGGAGACTACTCGCTAGGTTTGCTACCACAACCACACGAATACAACGTAGTTTGGAGCCGTTGGGGCTCTCTCGCTCCACGATAAGCGGCCGATTACTCTTCAGGCTGGCTCGATGTTGGGGAGCACGTCAAGTAGTAGTTGTGATTTATTTACATAAAATAACGTACACATGCGAATACACACTTGATTTTCCCTACAAACCACGTTTTTCAAGTAAACCAAGCACTACCTCACGTTTCCAGTGCTGTCGCAGGAACGTCAAAAGAGAAAAGAGTTTGCGCGCTGTTCAACGTCAACGTTCAAGAGAGAAAAAAAAAAACACGAGACAACGCGAACAAAACTTGAGAATATTTTGATGTCAAGTTGGTAGTTACATTACAACCCCGCTTTCGAGCCCGCCGGAGAACCCGTCTCCCCAATGAGTACAAAGGAGGTGAAGCAGATCGTGAAATATGGTTGTATTAGTAATCCAAAAAATCAACGTAAACGCAATTAGTTACGTCACCAATTGCATGTATCGTACAGGGGTTTTACTCACACAACTTAACCGACTGCTTCACCTCGGTAATCCAGCTCATTGCCGTCTCCCGTCTTTTAAAACCCGTCTACACGCTAAGAAAACCTGCACATATTTATAAAATTCAGTACCAACATTTCAAAGGGGCGTAATTGCTTTTGTAAACAATAGAGATTGCTAAAGTATGATTGTGTAAGTGATTTGTTTTCATCGGGAAAATTTTCCGCTATGAAGTTTTTTTTCCCGATGAAAACATTTTGCGTATACGTATACTTGACGCACACTACGTACGACAAACGTCAGCAATCTCTATGGCTGGTCGATTTCTCGCATCTTAAAGCTCACTCCTTCAAAATAACAATGCTAGATGGTGGAAGAAACATTCCTCTACCTATTGGTGTAATTATTTTTCATGGGTGAGCTTTTACTCGCGAGAAATCGACGGCTAAAGCCATTGTTTATAAATGCAATTACGCCCCTTTGAAATGTTGACACTGAATTAATAAACGCTGTTTACTCATCAAATGAATAAAAGCATTTTTCTCGAAACTGGTTAACTTTTATTCATTGATGTAAATATTGATCACACAGAGAAAAAAAGTTGTTGAATATTACATCCAAACTGCTGCAACCAGGTCAATCCATCGGTTGTGTACACACTTAAGGCCCAAGCGCAATGTGGGCGGAAGCGGAACGGAAACGGAAAGTTTGACAGTAGTCACAAATGGCATCAAGATGCCTAACCGAAGTCGATTTGATTCTAACTAGTTTTCAATCCGACAAGTAGGCTTACTCAGATCAGGCTTTTCCGCTGCCGCTGCCGTTCCGCTTCCGCTGTCATTGCGCTTGGGCCTTTAGATTTTTTGCCGAGATGGGCACCACCTCGGGCATCACCGAGCAGCTCGGCATTTTATTTTACTGGAAATTCAGCAAAAAATATGTTTGTTAGCTGAGATCTCGGCAAAATTCCCGTTTGTTAGCTGAATCTCGGCAAGTTTTTCACTGAGATCCAGCAAAATAAAATGCCGAGCTGCTCGGTGGTGCCCATCTCGGTGAAAAAATCTAAGTGTGTAATACCAACAATCAATACGAAACTATCGATTTTAAATTGGCTCACCACTTTAGTAGCCTATTGGTCCCAAGCAAACGATTAACGTACCCTATTCTAGTCGAAATTCTAGTACTACGCAATGTTTGTTTTGATTCGCTATAAAAGTTTGACAGATAAAATGAGGGGTTATTGGTTTTTCCTATGTTTCGAGGGGTGAATCGATTAGCTTGGGACCGAAGAGAGTACCAGAGTTGAGCCAAAAAGTTGAGCACGTTATTTCGGGACCTTCTAGTCTTAGAGTTACCTCTATGGTAATACCAACAATCAATACGAAACTAACGATTTTAAATTGGCTCACCACTTTAGTAGCCTATTGGTCCCAAGCAAACGATTAACGTACCCTATTCTAGTTGAAATTCTATTACTACACTATGTTTGTTTTGATTCGCTATGAAAGTTTGACAGATAACATCAGGGGTGTGTGGATTCATGCAGAACATGCAGGGGTGAGTGAAATAGCTTGGGACTGCTTGGGACCGTTGTTCTGGTACTGAGTGAGCCAAAAATAATAATGATTTTCTTCGGGACCCAGTGGTCTTAGAGTTACCTCTATGGTAATACCAACAATCAATACGAAACTAACGATTTTAAATTGGCTCACCACTTTAGTAGCCTATTGGTCCCAAGCAAACGATTAACGTACCCTATTCTAGTTGAAATTCTATTACTACACTATGTTTGTTTTGATTCGCTACACGGTAACCGCAAATTACCCAATAATTACTACAAAGTAAGCATTTTCGAGGGAGACTGGGACTACCCATTAAATGAGTAAAAATATTACCCATTTATGAGTATTTGTTACTCAAAAATGAAAACTTACTACTTGTTTTTGTAGTTGTAATTACTCATAAATGGGTCAAATTTTACTCATTTAATGGGTAGTCCCAGTTTCCCTCGAAAATACTTACTTTGTAGTCATTATTGGGTATTTCGCGGTTACCGTGTATGAAAGTTTGACAGATAACATCAGGGGTGTGTGGATTCATGCAGAACATGCAGGGGTGAGTGAAATAGCTTGGGACTGCTTGGGACCGTTGTTCTGGTACTGAGTGAGCCAAAAATAATAATGATTTTCTTCGGGACCCAGTGGTCTTAGAGTTACCTCTATGGTAATACCCCGTTCACATTACAGCGTATATCACGTGATATACGCTGTCTTGCAATGAGCACTCATACATCTAGTTTTCACTAGAAATCTTATGTACATCGTAGGTAGAGTCGTCCCCCTCGTATTTTACTGGTTTCAGTAATACAAATACGTTTACTGAATTCCAGCCCTAATAAAAATTGTATGGTTAATTTGCTTAACGACGTGTTCTGGGTATCATCCAAACCATTTCTGGAATAGTTCAATGATTTGGGTTACCGTTCGTTTATGGTTATTTTTTATTAGGGAGCACTTCAAACCACACAGCAAAAAAAAATGTAATATCGATCAACGTAATTCAAGCTGATGCATGAAATAATGATGTAATAGCAAAAAGCAAATACAATATTACATCAATGCTCGCATCACTTTTCAAATAGACCAATGTAACATATCCATCATTTTAAGAAAATCGAAGTTGAAGTATTTTTGCTGTTTAAAAACAATTCATTTTACAATACTATTTTTAACGTAGTCAGTGTATAATAACGTTGAAAATTCAGAAGAAACGGTAAAATCACAATTTTACTTTGAATTCCATGCTACAACATAGAAAAAACCACATAGGACGTTTTGACAAGTCGAGTTGTACATCGGACATGTTACATTGGACGATTTTTCTCAATGACATAATCAATGAGTGTTACATTGGACGTTTTGTCTACATGATAATAGATTCCCTTTCACAGATTTCAGAGTATAGTACCTAACTTTAGATTGGCCCCGCCTTTGGAAAATGAGCACCAATCATGTTAGGCAGTCCGAATGACCGAAGTAACAATTATATACCCATCATTTCATACTGTACATTGGACAATTTTTGATCAATGATTATCTTAAATAAATGAAAGTAAATTTGGATGGATGTTTTTGTATCACATACAATGATAGAAGAGCAATAGTTTGTATCGCTTAACTCGATTTGTTTACATTTGTTACATTGGTCTATTTGAAAAGTGACGCGAGAATGGATGTAATTTTGTTCGCAAAATCGATGTACATCGTACAATGTGAAATTACACAACCGATGGATTGACCTGGTTGCATCAGTTTCGATGTAATATTCAACAACTTTTTTTGCTGTGCAAGCGTTGCTGGTATCCAGTGAAAAATCGTTTTTCTGGACATTATTCAGCAATTCAAATTACTCGAAGGTGAATTAATTTTTTTTTGTGTATATAAATACATTTTATAAAGAATTTAATACACTTAAATACAAAAATACACTAAACTTAAAAATACATAATACGAAAAAATACAAAATACACCTTTTTAAGTCGGATAGATGAATCTAAAATACTCAAGGCTTAACGACGTGTTCCGGGTATCATTCAAACCATTTGTGGGATAGCTCTATGATTTGGGTTATCATTCGATTATGGTATTTTTATAATAGGACGTTTCCATGAAAGAAGAAGAACGCGTCACAGACAAAAAGAAGTTGTCTCCTCTTCCTCTTATAGATAAGCTCCACTGTTTTTTTATATGCAAATCTTAGATCAGCGTTTTATGCAGTGTAACTATCAATCCCGCCACATATCGGCTCGCATCTTCAACAGTTTGAAATTTCATTAATGTCATTTTTCAATCACAAACAATCGAAAACATAAAATTTTGCGATCGTGACTCATCTGCAACACAATTTATTTAATTATTATTCTGAATTTTGCTGTGATCATCTAAAACAAAATCGAATAATTAACTAAATTATTGTTTGTTCAGTTTCTAGAAAAGTAAATCAAAACGGGGAACGAGATGTCTATGTCGGCGATGGAAAGCATCCTTTTCAAATTGTTTACCCTTTGTCCTTGAATAATTCGTTCTTTCAGCTAAATTTTTTTTTTTTCATTTTACATCTATATTGTCCTTAACTATGCTGTTATTTAGAACATTTATTTAACCTTAAGTTTGCCGTCAAAGACCTGGAGCGGAACGCGAAAAAATGCGAGAAGGAGGAAAAGACGGAAATTCTTAAAACGAAAAAAGCCATTCAGAAGGGTAACACGGAAGTGGCTAGAATTCATGCAGAAAATGCTATTCGACAGAAGAATCAGTCGCTCAATTATCTCCGGATGAGTGCCCGGGTGGACGCAGTGGCAAGCCGAGTGCAGACGGCCCTCACGACTCGCCAGGTCACAAACTCGATGGCCGGTGTGGTGAAAGCCATGGATGCTGCGATGAAGGGTATGAATCTGGAGAAAATTTCCGGACTTATGGATAAGTTCGAATCGCAGTTCGAGGATCTAGACGTCCAGAGCTCGTACATGGAAAATACAATGTCCCAGACGACGACTACGTCTGTGCCACAGAACGACGTCGAATCACTTATGCAGCGGGTTGCTGATGAAGCCGGGTAAGTCAAGTGCTTTAGATGGTTCTTGTTACAAAGAAAGTAACATTGTTCTTCTTTTAATTTCGTTAGTTTGGAGTTAAATATGGAACTACCCAGTGGGCCAGCATCCACCGCTATTGGAGCATCCACGCAGGCTTCGACCGAACAGGACGAACTTACGGCTCGTCTAGCTCGACTGAGACAGGCCGAATAGAAACACGAAACAGGTAAAATTTATAGGAACACGTTTCAGAACACTACCTGTGTTTGAAAAATAGGATTAGCGTCTAGGTTTTTGCGTTGTGGATTTCGTACGGAACATTATCAGGCTAATATAGTAATTCAGTAAATGGTTTTGTTAAGATATGTGAATAAGCACAATAAAAAATAGAATCCATTCAGCAAAAATCTGGTAGCTTAAAAGTTAATCCTGTCTATTGAATATGCGAATTATTCATTATTAAGGCATTGTGTGTATTATACTCTGTTGTTTATATGCTTTAAAAATAGAATTCAATCAAAAAGATTATATTTTAGTTAATAATTCTTCCGAAAGCTATGTGAACTCCTTTACCACCCATTACACATTTTTTATTGTTTATTACAGGGTAAGGTGGGCATTACTCATGCCACATGATTTATGTATATTTTTTTTTTTTTTTGACATCAACAGGCTGAAAAAAAGCTAACCATCACTGGGATTGCATTGCACCTGTTGATATTGACAAACAAATATATTAATTGTATTTGCTCACTACAATACGTTCTAGAGTCATCCTTAGCTCAGTCGGTAAAGGCGCAGCTGTCAAACTAACGATCTTGCATTGAAAGAAAGAAAATTAAACGCGCGCGCCAATGCGTGACTGTTTTTGCCTTTTGAAATTCGGCCTTACAAAATCTGCCTTATGTTTGCCTTTCGACCGTGGCTCAAATGAACAACTTTGGAAGTGCTCAAAGAACACTATGTTGAGAGCCGGTGAAAGTCCCAGTGGGGACGTAATAACATCAAATAATACCGGCACTGGTTGGAAGATCTGCCAAATGTTTGGTAACCACTTTCGATTTTCACACTTTTCGCAAGAAATTCTTGAACTTCGTTGAAGAATTCAAGTTTTCACTTCAAATTGCATAGGTGGAACTTGGATTTTAGGCTAGTGGGGTGGGAGGGGCATGTCCTTAGCTGACAAGACATAAACCATCGATAGTATGGGGAGGATATTTTTTTTCCTTTGGTTTGTTTTTTTCCGTCGATCTTGTTTTCCGTGCTGAGCACCAATGCTACCGACGTGCCAGGAAGGCAGCTCCCACACCTGGACCCTACCTATCGACCCATCAACTCATGAACCGGGGACCAACGGCTTTACTTCCCATCCGAAGGAAGGCGTGATCAGAGATGTTATGCCTCAGAACATCCCGGCGGCGCCGACTGGGATTGAAGCCAGGCCTGCTGGGGTGAGAGGTAATCACGCTTACCACTACACCACCGGCCCCGTTGATAATTCAATATTTATAATTTATAATAATTCACAAGCAGAGATTATTGACTATCTTATAATAAACCGAGTTGCTACTTGGAGACCAGTCCAACAAAAATGATGATGACGTTGAAAACGGTCTAGGTGGTGCGAGTTCTGGAACTATTGATTTACTTTATTAGGGGTGCAGTATGCAGCCATAGAAAAGATGAAGAGCGTTAATGGAAACCGGAAACCAGTTAATTTCGGAGCCGGTGAGCATGTTGCTTTGCTAAACAGTGCTGATGGAAACTCGAAAAACGTAGAAGTTTATTAGCGGCGTAGTATCTCTGGCTTCGGCCAGACATATACCAGTATTCGTTACCTGACAAAATAATTGGTATTTCTACCAGACCTTTATTGTTAGTTTTGGAGCCAGAGAGCATGAATCCGATGTAGAGCTGTACGAATGCCGAAGAATGTAGTCGGAGCCTGAACGCTGGACACGTTGTTCGCTTATGGTGACCGTAGATGTGATTTTTTGTGGTTGGTTTTGGAGCCAGAAATCATAGATCCAGAACCATGTGGAGCGGTGCGAAAAACGTGGAAGTTCATTAGGGGCGTAGTAGTAGCAACAATCAATACGAAACTATCGATTTGAAATTGGCTCACTACTTGACTAGCCTATTCTGCTACTATTCGCATAACAGTCCCATGTCCTATGGATTTCCTATCTACATAGGACTGTTATGCGAATAGCGGCAGTATTGGTCCCAAGCAAACGATTACCGTATCCCATTGGGAGATTGCCGTAAAAGCTCGACGCAGATGTCGCCACTTCATGATGATGATAATGTTGACAGACTGCATATAAAATTCGTGAAAATTAGCATTAAATTATAATTTTCATCAATCCTGCGTAAAATCCTTCCAATATAACATTCGAATTGAAGAAGAAAATGTTTTCACGATCAGACTGATGTGCATCTTTGACTTTTCCAGATGAACTTTCATAAGATATATTCATTTCATTTCATAGCTCCATCAATGCTGCATCGTACATATGATGTAAACAGAAGTAAATTGCTCAATTACTCCAAAATGTCGTTGCGTTTTCCGTCGAAAATTGTGAGTATCAATATGTTTACCTAAAAAAGGCCAAAATTAACATTTATTGAATATTGGTGTCCTATACAACCATTTCTCCATTATCACCAGATATCATGTATCCATATGATACCAGTATCATGATACAATTTTTCCTAAGTAAATTCACTTAATTTCCACTTTCATCCTAGTGGAAATCGCACATATTCACCATTTTCCGAAAAATGCAGCTGCGCAGGAGGTAACCTCTACCTGTGGGTGCAAACTTGTTATGCATAATTTTCCATGAAAAAAAAATGAAATAATAACAGATAGTTTGCAAACACGTTTTCTTACACGATTCAAGCAAAAGTTTCCACCGGAAATTATTAATTTTTTTTTAAGTACCGATTTGCCCCAAAAATCGTCTGTTTTACTTGGAGAATTTGGATACTATCCTCCTTCTAGTAGTTCTCAGGGGGAGATAGCTCATCGATTCTTCCGGTTCGCCTCCAAGCATCGTGCTATAAGGTACCAGGCGATAACCAGGGTAGTTGATCGATAGCTCGATGACGTCATTTCGTTGGCGTCTGCAATGGGAAATTCTCATAGCAGGCGTTGACGATGGGACGTTGTCGAGTTGTTGAATAGCAACTATCGTGGTAACTCACCGATTACCTGTCGATCTTCCAAATTTGGAAAGACGTCTGCATTGAATTGTCTCATATAATAATATTCCGCCCACTATATCACAAGAAATTGCGAGTAGCTGAGTGGAATGGAGATAAATTAAGCATTGGGTACAGGACCAAGTCTCCCCTGGGTGGTGCCAGAAGATGAGCGCAATAGAATCATCAATTTGCCATAAGGCACGGAATGAGACTATTGCATACGTTAGTTATTTCAGGTGGGTCTCGCTGGATACGCCCAAGACTGGACGGGCGGTAGCTGGTGGCCGTGAACGGCTCCTGGGGAAAGCACTAGATGCGACCCTCCTCCCAGATGACCATGGCAATACAGGAAGTATTACAACAAAGGTAATTGCTATCAGATATTTTGCAAACAGTGACAGATAGAACCAGTGGAAGTGCCGGGCAAAGGTGTTTATCCTAGACAAATGGTAAGTTACAAATTCCATGTTGTCGTTGTCGTAGGCGCCGTCGTAGTCGCTGTCGTAATCGCCGTCGTAGTCGTAGGCAGTACCGTTAGTATATTTAAAATTAACCACCAACCGCTGAAAATATGAATTATCGCGTATTTCTGTTGTTCATTGCATGCCAAGTGAAATTCGAGAACGTAATTTCATTTGAATAGCTTGTTTTACCAGGTCTTAAACTATCGTCACGTCGGTCATAGCTTGTTATGATTGCCTGAACCATGCGTAAAGAGAAAATCGAAACATTGAACGTCGCGTAAAAGTGGATCTTAATGAAGGCCTAAGTACTCTTTCGTAGCTTTTAGTTTTAGGATTTCAAAGATCGTCGGTTGCAGTGGCTTCCCTAATAAAAAATACCATAAACGAACGATAACCCAAATGATTGAACTATTCCACAAATGGTTTGGATGATTCCCCGAACACGTCGTTAAGCAAATTAACCTTAACATTTTCATTAGGGTTGCTTACTGAGCAGAAAAACACGGTCCCAGGTCCTTTCATATTAAAAATGTATGGTAAGATCGCTTGTTTAACGTTTTCCTTTTTTTAACTTTTCGGTGTCGTCGGTGCCGGGTTTGAATAGTTATACAAACTTGAGTAACGCTATAATGTGATATGAGGGGCTCGGTGGCCTTAGAGCAACCGGTTCTGCTTACTGAGCAGAACATCATGAGTCTAATCTCAAGCCCATCCACATTCAAGATTCTTCAATCGTTTTATTTGTTAACATGACTACATGGTAATAACAGCAACTCGATGATTAAAAAGGAGCTCGTCAGCCTAGTGGCAAACGTTTTTGCTTACTGAGCAGAAGACCGTGGGTTCAATCCCAAGCTCCTTCGCGTTATATGATGGTTAGGACATCAATTCAGCTTATCGTTTACCAAAACGAACCCTGCTGCAAACCCAACCCTATTACCCAATATCCCAGTAATTCCTCGTGGAAGTGCAGAGGTGTTCTCGGCTTCCATTAAAGCGAGTGTCACGTCAACACATTCATACCCCTTCCTTTCTTGACCTGTGTTCGGGCGCGGCCGGCGCTGGTATTGCATAGTTTGAGATCACCAGTTTTTACACATTGATGATGATTGCTAGTCCCAAGCAGCGTCTATTGGTTCTCTGTGTAATTACAGCTGGTCTGGCAATAATAGAGTAGCAACCGTGGGCGGTCAATCATGCTCATGCTCCTCTTTCTAGTAGTTGTCACTTCGAAATGTAGGTGGCGAAAGCTTGGAAAAGTTTCACTGCAGGACGCCAATTCTAGTCGGAATCGAGGGGGGCGACACATCTAAATCTCAATCATAGATGCTCGAAAAATCTCAAGCCAGCGAATAAATCTACGAAAAATCTTCTTGCCATTTTAAGCATCTAAATCCATCTACTCGCATCGACTTCCATCTTTTTGCAGGAAATTTTCAAAATCTTCATCAATCTTCTTAAAATCTACTCATCGTACGTGCAGCTAAGCACAGCAACACAAAATCGTTTCTGCATCGAAGATAGAGTCGCCCCCCTCGGTCGGAATAGAGTTCTCCTAGGGGCATCCCACTCTAAACTTTATATTTCTCGCGGTGTACTGACTGATATCTTAGATACCTATAAATACTTAAAAATACTTAAGAAATACCTAGTACTAGTATGCTTACCTGGTTGCTAGGTGAATTTCTGCAGTTTGTTTATTCAATGTTGTCAGGAATTTTATGTGTTAGGCTGGTTTGTGTGCATTGTGAGCGTTAACGTATCAATGAATAAATCATTTAAAATAAAA